CTTGATAAGATTGCTAACATACCAATAATCATTTCAAAAGATCGTTCAACACATTGACAAATAATTTCATTTGGTTGAATTTTATCAATTAAATAATTTGTTAAACAATATACAGAATATAATAATTCACTATAAGTAAGTGATTGCCCATCTAGTTCAAGAGCTAATTTTTGTGGATATAATTGAGCTTGTTGAACAAAACATTCATGAACAGTATTTGGCCATGAATAAGATGCAGATATATCTGTATTATTCATCTGGTGAATCAATTCTTGTTCAGTTGGAAGAACAATGGATAATTTATAGATTGGTTCATGAATAACTGAAGAAGAAGAAGAGAAAAGTTGTTTGAGCATATGTTGAAAACGATTTGCAAGTAGATCGACATTAGTTTGAGTTTGAAATATATCAATTGAACAATCAAGAAAACATTCTGTAGTTCGTGCATGATAATCATGTGATATTGTAAAAGTAAGATCAAATGCTGCAACACCATTACCATGTGATCGATCTCGATCAAAATAAACAGCAAGAACATAATTTCCTTCAGTAGTACTAGATTCAATATTATTCTTTGCTGTCACTGATGATACTAAAGATTCATATTGAAATACTGTTGAAGGTAATACTTGATGATTTTGTTGATCTTGTGAATTAATAATATGTTGGTAAGGTAAACAAGAATGTTCTAGAACATCACTACTTAATTGTTGTATTTTTCGTATAAGATATTCAAATGAATTATTTGCTTCCATTTTTATTCGATATGGTACAAGATTAACAAACATGCCAATCATATCTTTCATTTCTTGTTTTGATCGATTAGCTATAACACCTCCAACACATAAATCATCCTCATCCATATTAATTAATTTATATAAAAATACATAATAACAAGCAAGAGATAAGGAAAACATTGTTAGATTATTTGATGAAGCAAAAGAAATCATTGCATCAACAATATTTTCATCAAAACTAAATGCAGTTGAATAAGCACGACCAGAACGAACTTGATCAGTTTTATTTTCATGAGGTACTAAATGTTGTATTCGATTCCAATCATAACCATTCATAAGATTTGACCAATAACGACGTGCTTTATTCATTTTTGAATCTATATTTGTATCAGCTAACAATGCTTGTTCATATATTGCAAAATCAATATATTGTGGAACTGATAATATTGGTTGTTGTTCATTAGCCAAATCTATTTGTTTAAATGCTTTTATAAATGCCATAACTGAACTATTGTCAAATGCAATATGATGAAAACTGAGAGCAATTATATCATTTTCATATAATAAACCATCAGTATTATTATCTTGCCGCTGCACTATATGGCATCTTAATACTTTTCCTTTTTCAAAATCGAAAATTTTTCCTGTAGATTCCTTGATAAGTAATCGATCAAGCAGTTCTGATGTATTAATATTTCGTGAATGTTGAAATGAATAAATTTCATCGGTAGCAGCTTGAATATATTGTTCGATTTGATTACTTTGTGGATTAAAACGAACAGCAGTACGAAGAACACTATGTTGTTCAATTAATGTGAGTAAAATTGAACGAATACGTTCGACTGATAATGAACCTTGTTTGACTATCAATGGTACCAAAATATTGTAGACAGACAAGTCAGAAGAATGAAAATAAAGCTGTTCATGAAGCCAAATTCGTTGTTGAACAAATGAAGCAACAGCTTCTGTTCGTTCTGAAGTTGTAAGTTCCGGTTCTTTATGTATATTTGTTACTGCTGCTAGTCGCTTACGCGAAAGCATTGTATAATGAAGTATTAAATCAATAAATATTGATTAGCCAATAATATAAAATAAGAAGCTTAATAGAATCTACAAATTAAAAAGAAGATAAGAAAAACTAAATAGATGTTTCAGAATATGAAATAAGAATATGATCACATGATATGAGAGTGATATTATTATCAAAAGTACAATAAATCAATGTACAATCTTCTAATAATACCTCAAAATGAAACAAAAGAACTGATTGAGTAGCTATGACATTATATTAGATAATAAAAAAGAATATTAATTTAATATTGTTAGTGAGTTAATTAACTATTACAGATTTTCACAAAAAAATATTTTATCGAAGAAATTTATTAGTATTAATTGTTAAAAAATCTACAAATATTAGTATACTACCATAGTTGATATAAATAAAATAGGTTTAATAAGCAAGAATAAATATTTGAATAAATAAATAATAATTGTGAATATATTTTAGTTGTGAGTATCTAAAAGATGTAATTGCGTATTAGTAATGAGTGAATGTGTTTTGAGTTGTTTCAACATTTCATGAGCAATAGTTTCTTCTGGTTGGTTTCGAATAGCTACTATTTGATAAGATCCACATGGTTGAATACGACGCATTTGTGTAATAAGACTTTGAGCATATGTAAATATAGATGATGATGATGATGATGATGTTATTGTTGGTATTTGTAAAGCATAGATATCATTTGATGATGTTTCATCTTTTTCATTAGATAATTTATCAGTAAAAAATGTAAATAAATCTTCATTATTATTATCATTTGATATTTGAGTAATACAAAAAAGAGTTGAAGTATTATTTTGATTTGATCGATGTAGACAAATGATATTTTCTAAACCTGTATATGTTGATGTATTAGAATATTGAACTTCATTTTCATTAATCAACTCAAAATCTAAATCTTGTTCTTTTGCAGCTGATGATTTTGTTTGTTCTTTTTCATTAAGTTTATTATAAACGAGTGTTCCAATTTTTTCAACTGAAAGTCCTTGAAGAAGATCAGCTAGTGGTATATAAATACCGGTTTCTTGACCTAACCAATTATATAATGAAACAGCAGCTAATGAATCCATACCTTGACTAACAAGTGAACGATCAATAACTATACGATCAACACTAGCTGCACCTAATAATCGTGCAACAGCTGATTGAGTTCGTTCAATAATTGTTTCTTTCTTATTCATACTAGACTCAGTTGAATTATTTTTTTCTGATGATGATGATGATGATATTTGATCAAATTTCATCTCTTTATGACGTTGATCAACTATTTTTCTTAAATAAGTTGTAGCTAATGTTGCATACTTTCCATATAATATTTGCCAATTAACAGCAAAAATAACAGGACACGGACAAATCTTTTGAGCTTGATGAAAACATTCAATTATTTCGAATACAGTTATTGTTGGCATTA